GCTGAAGTACGGACCGCAAATGAAAACCGTAATGCAACGCGAAGCGGTCACACACACACACACACACACACACACACACACACACACACACACACACACACACACACACCGCCCTCGGGGACCGGACGGCCAGCGCCGCGACCGTCCCACGACAAAGGTCGCGTTTGTTTTCATGGGGCCATCACTGCCACGACAGATTCGGGGCAACTCATAAAACTCGGCGAAGTCAGGCAGCGCGGCGTCCACCCACACTCGCCAGGACCGCCGCCCCGCCACGCCCAGCCTCGGACAAGGCGATGCCGGCCGGTGACCGCAACCACGCGCGCAGAGTCAGCTCTCGGGCGCTCGGCGGATTCATTGCTAAACTTACCAGTGTTCTCGGACCGGACGGAATGTCGGGGGAGGGGGTGGGGCAGGGGCTCGCGGAGCGGCAGCATGGCGATGCCGCGCAGATACACAGCCGGATAAGGTCCCCGCGGACCCCATGGCGCGCGTCAAGTCGAGGGTAGGCCGCCCGCACCACGCGGCCGCCGGGCGTGAGTGCCGCGGCCGCGTCGCAGGCCCGGACTCGCCAGAAAAGCAGACCGAGAAGAGAAGGCTTCACGAAAATGGCGTTCACATTCTTTTCACGGGTAAAAACGGTTCCTCTGAGCACGCTTTGCAGTTCAAGCGTGGCAGTGCCGCCGGACGCGGACTGGCTCACAGTCATTTCTGGTCAGCCCTTCGAGGTTCAAATGCGAGGTACTTCCAGAAAAACGACTCCCCCTGAAATACATTTTTGAAATTTCGTTACAAAATTAATTTTGTTTCGATGTATTTGTTACAGATTCAAGAATTGAAGAACTTAAAAAAATGTCCGTGTGCCATTTTTCTCGGATACGCGATACTGAATTGAGATTTCCTACGTACGATAGAAGTGAAGTGTCAATTCGGTCAATTTCAAGGAAAATTTAAGGCCAACTTTGTTTTTGCATGCTCTCCTCCGCGCACTCTCCACTAAAGAGGGCAAAAGGAGCGATCAAATAAACCGCTTTGACCTCCACTGCATCTCATCATGCCTACGAGGAGGCAAGAAACCACTCGGCGGAAGGTTGCCTCGCAGGGGCTGGGTGGGACCCGCTTCTGGCACACCCGAGTATGTGGGTGCTCCACTTTGCCTACCCACTCCTCTGGGACACTGTCCGCGCACTGTTTACACCCGAAACACTCGGCCGAAGCGACACGACGGGGCGGGCGGCACGTCCGCGATGTGCGGGCGGGGGTCGCGCGGGTCAGCCCGGGCGTTCCCTGCGTCTGAGTCTTCCCACCGCCCGCACCTGGATCGCCCCTTTTCCCCCCTTCCCGCGCCAGGGCGCCCCTCCCCCCTCCCCGCGATAAACGCGCCCCTCTCCCACCGTCGAGGCCACCAAGGCCCTGCTGGCATTCCACGCCGTGCCCTTGGCGGCGGCCAGTGTGTACGCGCACTTTGCCCGGCGGCAGGCAGATTCCGAACAGGACGCTCTGTCTTTCCCGCACCCCAGCAGGGCGCTCCATGAGTGCGAGAGAGACGGAGCGTCGAAAGCTCACTGTACGGAATGAGGCTGCAGGCGGGCCAGGCAGGCGGCCCCCAAATGCCCAGCCTGCACCGGCAAACTTTGGTCCTCGACATAAAGACGAACACGGTGACAGGTCGAGCAGTGCATTGCCTGTCGCTCTGCAGGGGCGGACGCAGAGCCGTCCTCAGGGAGCGGCAAAATAGCGCATTTTGCCAACCTCCGGTGGGAAAGTTGGCTTTTTGCCTACGTTTCAGGTGGCTTTCTAGCGCCCAAGGGAAGGGGTGAATCGTCCTTTCTCCTACCAACACACTGTAACCGCGTTTGTCGCTGCGCCACGCCCCGTGAGTGCGAGTGAGACTAGGGAATCACAGCGTCTTTCTCGGACCTCCAACGGAACGGGCCCGGCAATGCGATAGAGAGACATTCAGAATCGGTCCGCAGTGCACTTTTACGGCATCCCAACGCCAGCAAGGGCAATATCGCGGCCATGCCGGGCCAGCCAGGCCAGGCCCCTCCGCCTCGTCCATATAAACACGATTGTCACGGCGAGGGCGTGCCGGCAGCGCCAGCCGTGGCGGCCTGAGGGACGGCCCGGGCTCTGCGACGCTCTGCGGCGACCAGCGCCAAAGAAAAATGATTATTGTGTCCCCACTGCCACTGCCGCCACGCCACCCCCTCCACCCACTCCAAGCGCGGCAGCTGCGGCCCTCGTTCGTGACGCCCCAGACGGACGGGGCGCCAAGGACAGGTTTAAAGGGGGGACGGCAACAGGCCCTCTGCCCACCTCTGGTTCACTCCATTTTACCCCTGTAAAATGAAAGAAAAGCCTCCGGCAAAACCAAGGGAGTCGCGGCGGCACCTTGCACTTTTCACCGGCGGCGAGTTTGCGCGCAAAGTTGGACGTGTTGCGGCGGGCCGAGACAGCCGACTACTGATAACGCAGTTTCGTTTCGTCGCTCTGTCTCTCTCGCACCTACAGGGAACAGATAGCGAGGGAGACAGAGCGACGAAAACGACTCCACGGCGGTAATCGTTTCATCTCCTCCCCCGCGTCGGAAACCTTGTTCCGCATGATCATTCTTTTGAGGCGGCGAGTCGGCTCGATTCGGATTCCGTGGTTCGATTAGGTGGCCTTGCAATCGATCAAGCTGTCAGGCGCGGCCTAATTCAGGCTGTTTGGATCGCCGCCGAGGCGTCGCCGAGGCCAATCCGGCCCAAAATGCAAAGAATGGCGCGAGGGAGCGGCTGCCGCCAATCGGACGGTGGCGCTCCTGATTCACATTCGATTTCATATTTCGTATTCCGTTGACGCCGACACCATCGAGCTAGCACACCCCGTCACGCCGAATAGAGGCCTGCGCGTGACGGGCCGACGCGACGGGTTGCTTCGTCACTGTTGTTGTTCCACGAACGTGACGTCATGTTCGTTAGAAAAATAACGTTCGTCACGTTCGTTTGAAAACGATGTCACATTCGTTGGAACGTGACACGGCCGTTTAATTCGAAATGTCACATTCGTTTCACGCTGAAAACATGACGAAGTATCTTTTGCACATATAGTACAAACTAATTTACTTTAATGTACGAAGAAATAGTTGGTCAATTACGAAGTATTGTCTTTGTAAGCTTATGTGCTCAAAATACTTTGTTATAACAAACTGCTTTTCTGTGTAAGGCTCTAAATAGTTTGTAAGGTTTTTTCAGTGTTGAACGTGGCTCAACATTCAAACGAATGCTGCATCAATTCAAATGAACGCGATAAAATTAACATTCTAACGAGTAAGGCGTTCGCTGATTAGTAGTGATGGCGTGAAAAAATGACCCGACGAGGAAATAATTAACGTTATCAAGCGGTGCATCAGCCAGAGCCGTAGATCCATCACTGTGGCCCCGGGGGACGAAGCAGGGAGCCAAACTTCCTGCTGCGCCAACGGGAATGGCACCGCTCGCTTTCCGCGGATCGAATTTAATTGACAGACGGTCGCTTTTAGCATTCATTGTCCCACACTCATCTGGCGGCGCCCCGCTCACGCCGTCCACCGCCTCCCACGAGAATAGAACCAGCACCCACACACTCACCGCTCGCAAACATTCATCGACTCACACACACACATATCCGCGTCTGTCCAATCACGGACGCTCGGCAGATACGTATGGACTCTTGTGGATGCTACCGGAGGTCTGGATGGAGCAGCGTACTCCTCCAACGAAACTTAGTTCCGAGAGCACAGCTCGCGAAACCAGCAGAGACCACATATTCACTAGCGCGAGGATCCGGTACAAATAAAAAATAATGAGCCCGGCAGCGTATGCGAAAAAAAGGGATTCCCCGTGGTTGGTATTGGCGACTGGATAAGTGCACGTCCAGACTCGAGCCAGTGCGTCAGCACCACTCCGTCACTCAGGATGATTCCCGCCAAAGGGAGAGCCGAGCGGCAGAGCCCCCTTCTCGCGCCAATTTGAGATGCTCCCTCGTCGCCGCTGAACCAACGACGGACCTCTGGAGCCCTTTTCAGTTTCGTCTTTTTTATGACTCGTCCACCAAAGCCACGTGGCCGGCAATTCTGCTTTTCGACTTCTAGTGCTCTAGAAATTTCCGAGATATCGAGGGGTCCTATTCAAAAGATCTTATCTGGGCGTTCCCCCGAAGACAATCTTATCTTAAACGCATGTGGATTTTACATAGTTTGATCATTTGGTACAGCTACTTATCAACATAATTTGAGAGTTTGATCGCGTGAATCTAAAGATGGAAGTGCAAAGAAACCAAAAGTGCATGTAGAAATGTGTTTCGCTTGTCGTCCTATTTATTCTGGTTGATCAAAATGTGCGAAATCTGCAGGCGTTTAAGATAAGATTGTCTTCGGGGGAACGCCCAGATAAGATCCTTTGAATAGGACCCCTCGATATTTCTCCACAGTGTTATAGGCAATCGTGAATTGATTTGGATCGGTCGGCTTGCTGTTCCGCCCCCACGCTGTTGCCAGGTGACCCGGAAGGCGCACCCCCGTGTCATTGTAACGGTGCGCACCGAATCGTCCGCAACATCCATTCTATGGTGTGGGTGTGTGCGTATTTTTTGTGTGGTTTCAATCACCTCCTGTTCTTCCTGCCGGAAATTTCAAACAGCACAGGACAAACAAAGACATAAATCACCGACCGGGTCATTCCTGGGCGACTTGTGAAAGCCCAACCGCGATTCAACGGGGGCCTCCAGCTCCACCGGTGCGGGACCGAGACCAAATGCGGACACTTTTATTTATTTTTCGTTTTCCCGCGGTTTTTTTCATGTTTGGCACTGTACGGCCGACATAGCCGCTCGGGATAATTCAACCATCACAAGAAAGCTTTATTGTATGGCCAGAGTGAATGCAGCTCGCGCGCTCAGCGATATAAACCGAAAAAAGTGTAAAATGCCTCCACAGGCAAATGGCACCGCTATCCGTCTAGCCACTCTGCACTCACCTAAACGCCACGGCGCGGGATCGATCCAAGCCTGCAACACAGAAACACGCGCACTTTAATTAAACGCCCCTTTTCACTTACAAAACAAAGTGAGTGGTTTTCTTTTTTCACTCTTTGCAGCAACTTTTATCTTTGTGGTTGCCGCAACACGCAACACACAGGCAGAGGCGCACGCGGGGTGCCTTGCACTCGTTGTTAATAGTCAGGAGAAAACAGAATTTTAGCTCAAATTTGCCGACAAGGTAGAATTCTCAGCAAAGACGCGGGAAACGGGTTACGCATTGGGCAAATTGCTGCACTAATTGTGAATGTACTTACACTGTGCATAAGAGATTCAGTCATATGTGTACAAATAAGTAATACGCAAATTAAAGACACTTCAATTTCTGTGTATTTGTAAAATTGTACCAAATTCATGCACAAATTTATTCGTAATTTACACTTGCACAAATACGTCCATATCATCATTATCGCTGCAAGGCCTGTACGGGCCTTTAGCGGTTCGAGTCAGCAAAACAATCAGGCAACTGAAAATAGGCAAGTCACTGACGCGCTTATTCCACAGAGCCCCGTTGTCCCGCGGAGTCGAGAGCACCTCAACAACACCCCTTGACACTCCGTCATCAGTGGGGCTGGGGCTGCCAGTCCCGGACACAGCTTGCTGACCGCACAACAGGCGGGTGAGACTTGTTGCCCCAACGCGTGCCCCAAACACGTTCTCCTCAACGCACTGGAAAAGGGAAAAGGGGAGGGGTCAATTTGGACGCGGCAGGGGGAAGGGGGGTGAGGAAGGGGCGGGGGTTGCAAGCGTAGACGCAATCAGAAGGATGTGTCATGTTGGTCGTGTGGTAAAGCAGAGTTTCAGTGCCATCTGGCTGCGTCCCCCACCCCATCCCCCTTTCCCCGGGTCGTCTTCCAGCCCCTCCGTGCGTGCACTCCGCCGCGCAAACTGTTGGTGACACGTTATGCCCCCTCGCTCGCCGCATGCCAGATTTATGCGTCTGTGTTGATTATGCTGTTCGGAAGGCGTGTGGGATTTATGTATGGAGGCAGCAGTAGGCTACGACGCCCCGCCGGTCAGCGCGGCCCAAAAGTGCAGATCGTTTCGAAAATCTCCGCCGAAACTCATGACGATTTAAGGGCACACATTTTACGAGATTTGCTGAATAAAAAAGACCCATGAAAAGACAAGACTCCTACCCAAGATGCTGAGATCTGGAAAGATTTCAATTAAATATTGCGATGCACAAACATATTATTACGAGATTTTTTAAAAGAGTCTTTTTGAAATTTTTGGCAGGCAGGTCCCTGACCCACGTGCGAGCGCAGAAAAAAATTGTTGCCACTTTATGACAAAACAGTGGATGGCTTTTCATACCTGGAAAATGATAACAATGTCGTCACAAATCTATGGTACTTTTAAGGGAGCTCACTGCCTGAAAGCTTTTTTGGGTGGTGACAACTATGGCATAAATTTGTCATGAGTCATTCTTTTAAGCAGAATAAGTCTTAAACTTAGAGGCCACCATAAATTGCAGAGTGTGGCCACTAATATTGCAACGGCCAAGTGAGAGGCACTCACCCGACGTGGAAGCGGGCGAGTTAAGGCGCGGAAGGGTGGAGAGGGGCAGGTCAGGGTTCTGAGCGGCCCGATCGCAGCCGGCCTCCGTCAAGTGATAATCGAATGCAGAGCCGCCACTGCCGCCAAGGCGCAGCCCGTGGGAAATCATGCCCCATCATGCCCCCTCTCCACTCCCTTACCACCGGCTCACCCAGCGCCTGGAGATGGAGCGCCGCGTGGAAGACGACAGACATGGCCTGCAAGTGTCCGGACGGGGTGACGAGACTCAAACGTATGGCAAAAACATGTGAGGCAAACTAATACATAGTTTTTAAGTTTAAAAAGAGGAAAAGTAACACATTAAGTCTTTAGGATTGAATATTTTGCACAAATGCGTGCTTCGTGTCTAAATTTGCACGAAAAAATTTGCTTGTTCAAACAGATAAAAGACCGCGTAAAAAGTTGTGTTCAAAAATTGTGTTCAGTGCGGCAGGACTTATCGAGTGCTGCAAAGTGGCAGAGCGCGAGTGCAGTGGGTGGGCGAAAGATCGATTGACCCCTCTTGGCCTATTGACAGACAGATAAGCTTAAAGCCATACTTCTCCCCTATAAATAGGCAAAAAGTGTTGCTTTGCCCTTCCCTCAAGCCAGCTCTGGATCCGACCGGCTCTGTGGATCTGCCAGCGGTTGAGGGAGGCTCGCCCGGTGAGCCTCGGCGCGCCACCCCGTTGCGCGTTGCGCAGGGCGTGTCGATTTGCCGGCTTACCGCGCAAGCCGCTCAAGCTGTCCCGGTCTCCCCGCCTGGGGCTGAGGCTGTGTCGCTGCACGCGTCTCCGGCAACAGCAGGCTCATTCCGAAGAGTCGTCCGGCCGCGCCGTCTCTGTCGCACTCGAGGAGCGTCGCGTAGGTGTGCGAAAGAGACAGAGCAAGGAAACGACTCTTCGCGGAATCGCTACGCTCCTGTCACAATTTAGGTGACGCTCGGGGAGGGTGTGCGCGCTCAGGACCGCACGGCCGCCGCATTCGAAGCTACACAAACCTGACCGGAAAGAAGGGGGAAGAGTGCCACGAACATGAGTGGAGTACAGCGCCGTGCTAGCTACCAGTGCCTGTTACACTGATATTCTGCGCTGAAGAGCAGCACGATAGACTACCACGTTCGGATTTTCTCCAAGGGAGCTTGGTGCGTTTTCCAGGAAGGCCACACGCCAAATGTTTTTTCTTTGTTGTTTTTTGTACAAAATGTGTACAGAGACGTTACAATTTTGTACAGATGGACTTTTCGAGCAAAGTTTTGTACAAAATTTGTGCAAAAGCATTGCGTGTGTCCTCGGTGTGTCCGCTTTGATCCGACCTCGTGAGCCTCACCACTTCGGTACGCCAAGCATCACAGTAGGTACAGCAGAGACTCGCGCTGTCACGTCGTCGCGCCGCCAACATTGTTTCTGCAACCATTGGTGCGGCCGCAAGGGGCTTATCCTCACGAGCAGTAACGGTGTCGCGGCCAGACAGTGACTTCGGAGAAGGGGAAAAGTCTGGCCGTTGCCCGTGCGGTAACGAGCACAGTGAGCTCAAAGTGTCGTTCCACGTCCCGCCTCTCAACTCGCCTCGAAGACCGTCGACGACAGCGACTACGAGCTGCAATCAACAAATCGGCCGCGTCGCTTCTCGCGGGGATGGCTTTTCGGGGTGTGTGCTTGATGGGCACCCATTAGCGGGCTTAAACACACTTCGACCCGAACCTCATGTTCGGAGCCCCGCGGGACAACGAAAACGGGGGGGGGGGGGTGCTTTCTACGCGCTCCTTATTTTATCAAAAGCATGTTTTCATGTTTTCGACGTCATGTTATCCTTGTTTCAGGCGACGCGCCACAGCACTGAGCATGTGGTCTGAGCGTGGTGGGTTCGCTCGCTCACGTATGTATGTTCCTATCCTACGAAAAAAAAGCGTAGTCTGTCAAGTCCTTTCGCTTTTCGATTTTTCCTCGTGTTTGTGTACTGTGCGTGAGAGTGTGAGGAGCACGAGAGGGAGTTAGAGAGAGAGAGAGAAAGAGGAGTGAGAGTACGTGAGCCAGGGTGAGAAAGCACGCATGTGTAGGTGTGTGGAGACTGGCACTCTTGCCTCTCGTCTTAGCGCTGGAAAAAGAGGGACCAGGGCAGAAAAACGCGGCAGAGCGCGCGCGCATCAAGGGAATTGCAGAGCGGACTCACCGTGTGTATAGAAACCCCCTCGCCCCTTTTCATTCCTCTATACCGGATGAGACGTCGTTTGGCCGGAAAAGCTGCCGGGCTGCCTAGGCGCGCCAATCATGGCCGGCCCTCACAGAGATTCGCCCCGGGGATATTCATTGAGAGACTCGCCAGGTAGTGTGTGTTTCGCCATCATCCTGAGAGCAGTCCACCCCGCCCCATCCCTTGAGCGCTACGGTACGCCCTCGCCTCGTAAAGCCCGCCAGGCACGAGGCAGCGCGTGTCAGAAAGCACGCCCCGCACGCCAGCGCAACAGGGCTGCCACTCCGTGCCACTCCGCCCCGTCGTAGCCACTGGTCATGTCAGCCGAAAAGTCCCTGGTATCGTATGTGAGTTACAGGAACTTAAAAAAAAAAACAAATTTCGCATTTTTACTATGAAAAACTAGAAAACATTGTAGGGGGAGTTACATTAATTGTACAAATATTGATACAATCAACACGCAGGGCATTCAGGCAACAAAAAAGTCGAACGGCCAAATAAGGGGTAAAAAAAGGAATGCACATTTATGCGGTCTTTGTTCACAAAATTTCACACTAACCCTAACACTTTAAAATATTCTGCAAAAAACAGACACGTTATTCGCGAACTCCACTGCAAGCACCCTGTACTTTAGCAGAGTATCGGTCAGTGTGATTCTGCCGTCTCCGGCTCGGCACGCCATTTCCAGGGCGAACGTATAGAGTACCTCGGGGCCAGAGGGGGCGGTCTCCTTAATGTATTCCGGGTACTGGGCAGAGGCCTGCAGGAGTCGATGCACCGAGCCACTGCCGGGTCGAGTACAGTGCGACTAGACTGGCAAACAAAATGGCAAGAAACAAATGTGGGTCGAACGTTTGCTTTACAACAGTTCTCGCCAATCATGTCCCTGCAGACAAAACAGGTGAGTGAGGCAAAATGCACGGGGTCCATCACCAGAAAAAAAGGACCGGTGTACGTGTACGTGTACACTGACTGGTAACGAAACTGAATTTCAACTACGATTAGGCCTACATGGACAATGTAACGGAAAGCGTAAGAAATGCTGCACATTTACTTGTTTGTGCCGGCTTGCAATGTGACTGATTGCAACCAGGCATTGACAGGAGTCAGGGGTGTACACTGACTGGACGCAGTGAGGCGCCCCAGGCAAAATAGGAAAGCGGCCAACAGCTCCTCCCAGCGCGCACACACGCATTGCCAACTTGCAAACTCGCAAAATGATGTTGATCCGAGTTGGG